CATCCCCGGCGCTCCCGGGCAGCGGGAGGGACCCGCGCTGCCGATTCGCCCCGCGGCGCCCCGGCCGGCACCCCCGGCCGCCCCGCTGCCCGCCGGCGGGGAGGGCGAGGATGTCCGGCAGCACGGCCAGGAAGGTGCAGCCCTTCACCATCAGCACCAAGCTCTCGCTGCCCAAGTGTGCCCCCGACTTCCCCGGGGACACCTGCCCCGGCGTCGCCCTCGCCTCCGCTCTGGACGGCCACCGGGGCCTCCGCCGCAGCCTCAACGAGCGCATCTCCCTCTACCTGGCCCAAGCCCGGGCCGGCCCCGCCGCCCCCGAGGGTCTGCCCCGCAGCCCCAGCCCCGGCGAGGACGGAGGGACCGACGAGGAGCGGCTGAACCGCAACTCCCTCGCCCGCTCCATTAAGAAGATCACGCTGTCCAACTGGCATGGGGAGGGGGACGCGGGGGGACCCGAGGACCCTGCCCGGACCGGCAGCGAGAGGAACCACAATAACAACAACAGCAGGCCAGGGAAAGCCCATTTCAAGGTAAGCGCTCCCGGTACCCTGCGCCCTGCTCTCCCCGCTTGCGTGTGGTGGTTCCCCCTCCCTGGCTGCCCGGGGAGGCTGCACCCCGGTGGGGATCCCTGCTGCCTTGTCCCCATGTCCTCCAGGCAGCACTCGCTACGGGGCTCCTGGGGTAGCTGCTTTTCCTCTCACCTCCCCTTTACCACCCGTGATTTTCTGTACCGTCAGGCTGGAGGGCAGGAGGTCTTTGTGGGCGAGCTGGAGACTGGCTTTCCCTAGGGCTAAGATGAACCAGAAAAGCTCTGTCCCAGAGCCCGAGCTGTGGAGGGCTCAGCTCTTGGGATGCCTGTGAAGATGTAGTTGTGTGTGGGGGAGCTGGGAACTCGCTCTCCCGTTTACCGGAGGGGAAACTGAGGCCAGGAGAAGGGAAGTGACTCATGAAGGGCCACACAGCTAGGCAGAGCTGGGACAAGGCTAGGAGCAGGACTCAGGGCTCCCAGCACCCCACCCTCCGAGTCTGAGCGCTCGCAGGCATGGAGACCCGAATCTGACAGGGAGCCCAGGAGACCCCCTGTGTGGCTGGGATGGGGCAGAAGGCAGCTCAGGGACTTCTGCATCGCTGGCAGGAGCAGGCAGGAACTCCTTGGGATTTAACCCTGACCCACAACAGCTGGTTTCCCGGCGGGATAGCGCGAGGGAGAGCTGCACAGCCCACTGCCAAAATCCTCGTCTTCATTGCCAATAAAGGCCAGGAACGGCCTCGCAAGAGCTGCCGCTTCCTCCGGCACGCAGGCAGCTCCTCGCTGGGCGGCTGGAGTCTGCGCAGCCCAAGGGGCATCGGCATGAGGGCTCCCCTCTTTCATATAAGGTAGGGACACGTGCTCGGCACGGTGGTGCGGTGCGGGGCTCTGGGGGGCTGCCAGGATCGGCCCCTCCTGCATGTCCGGCCTGGGGGGGTGGAGCTGGAAGGGGGGGCAGGCTGCAAGATGGAGCTTTGGGAGGGAGAGGGAGAGCCGGGGCGCAGGGGAAAGCGTGCGTTAGGCAGGACGGCAGCCAGTGGAGAGAAGGGAATGCTGTCCCCCACATGGGGCACGTTAGGGCTTTCCTGAGCGTGCCCCCCAGCCCTTGGTGCTGCCCCTCACTCTTGCCCTGTAGGAACGGGGGGACTCCTCCGGGATAAGATAGTGTGGCCCAGTAGGGGCTGTCCCCGCTCGTCTCGCTTGTGGGAAGTCACTGGCACCTACTCTTACGTGGGAATGCAGCGAGCATATGTGCCATGTTAATTTTGCTTTTAACGAGGGGAAGAAGCATTTGCAGAGGAGGCAGCTGAGGCCGCTGCGCTCGTGTCACACGTGGCTTTGCTCATGTGGTGAAGCCCTGGGTCCTGCTGGAGGGCAGTTAGCACGGCACCTCGCAGATGCCGAGGAAGGCACTTCTCCCAGCCTTCTGTTGCTGTGAGAGTTTGTTGTTTTGCTGGAGCAAGGACCCATCTCCGGCCAGAGGGACCGGGGAGGAGGGGCAGTCCCGGTGGAGCAGCTCTGCGGGAAGGATGAAGTCATCCTTGTGCCGGCAGCCCTGTTTTCCTGCAGCTGATGGATCGCAAGACGGGGACTTAGAATAAAGCTCCCGTGTCACCTGCAGGCTTCTCTCCCACGGCTGAGCCTTGCGGGGGGAAAGGGGGGACAGGCTCGTGGGCTGCGGCCGGTGTGGGACCCTGCTGCCTAGAAGAGGGGCTTTGTAGGGTCTTACGCCATGTGAACGCTTCACCTTTAGCTCCCTGCCATTCCCTAAATGGGCATCCAAACCTCTCAGCCCCGTGGTTGGGAAGAGGGGTGCCTTCTCCTTCCGGCACCCGCCTGCCAGACACGCTGAGCTCTCGCTGCGCCTTCTGGGCCGTGACTCAGCCTTGCTCCCTGCCTGCTCTTCCTGCACGGGATGGGGTGCTGCGGCATGCTGCGGTGGTCTGTCCTCTGCAGCCCCCTGGAGAGGTCTGGTGGTGCCGGTCTCCCAGGGGTTATAGGATTGTTGGGCTGCTTGTGGGGCTCTGAACCTTTCTGGTGACAGCAGCTGTAGCACTGAGGGGTGCCATCCATGTTGGGACTCTTCTTTAGTCCTGCAGAAAGGGTAGAAAGTCACTTTCTGTACAGGGAGGGAGTCCTGCTTTGCCTGGGTTGTCTCCCCCCTTGTTTCTCCCCAGTCTGGAGTGGTCCAGGTGGTGACTGGGCTGGATTTGGCTCTGGCTGATCCACCATCCCTGTTTGCTGTGGCCTCAGAGGAGACCAGAGAGGGAGTGTCAGAGCAACACAAGTTGCCCATCACCCCATGCTGCCCTTTGCACGCTTGGATGGCTGTTACAGAGACAGCAAGGTGGCCCTGGGGAAGGAATGGAAGGACATCTCTAGATGAGCTAGCTGTATCCAACAGCCCAAAAAAAGATCCATCCGTAGAGGATGAGAATGACTGCCCTTGTGCATGATCCAAGCAATCCCACGCACCTCTCCTCCTGGGGCTGGGCTCTGTTAAGGATAAGGTAACAGGGAGTTCATCCTGGACCTCTTCTCTGTGCCTGGCAGCGGCTCCTGGACTTCCTTCCTCCTGCCTCTCCTGCTCCCACCCTCACCCCTGTCTCACGGGATCCCTTCCCTGCGAGTCAGCCACCCCCTTAACTCTTGCCTCCCGGACAGGCTGAGGTCAGGGATCAGCAGCTGAGATGATTTGGGTTTGTGCCAGTGGGGTTAATGTCCTCCTGTGCCCTCGTGCCTCTGCCCTGCTGTCCTGGAGATGGGAAGGGGTGGCTGACCTTAAGCATCCTTATATGACCAGGGGCAGTGGTGACCACTGAATGGGTTTCTGCTGGTTTTGGAATTGATTCAGGGGGAAAAAGGGTGGTGGTGATGGGAGCTAAAGTGGCGAAGGTGCTGAGCAGAGCAAGCTTAGGAGGTCTTTCCACTTGCTGAACACATGGCAGGAGCTGCGGATGCCCAGAGGAGCCTGTCCAGGATGCTTAAGAAGGGACAGGCAAGAGGCCAGCCAAGTGGTGTCTGGTGCTGCTGGCAGCCTCCTCTGGCCCAGGGTACGGTTAAGCGGGCACGTTAACCTCTGTCCACTTGGCACAGTCAAGCACTTCCAGGCTCAGGGCTGCGCCTTCCCGTCTCTAGGTCTTCCTCAGGAAGGACGTGGATGTGGAGAACGATCAGCAGGAGGCCAGGAGTCCCCGGGCCGGTGGTTTCTGCTCTCCCGTGGACAGAGGTTCCCCCTTCTGTGCGGTACGTCCCCCTGCCCTCGCCATTTGGAGGGTCTGACCTAGGGGTGCAGCTTGGGGCTGAGTACGTGAGGGCAGATGCTGGTGGTCTGCGTGGGCATGGGTGTGGATGGAACCTCACCACTTTAAATGAACGAGGGGACAAGCTGGGCATGACATGGCGTGAGGATAGCCCCCAGGCCAGTGCCCAAAGCTTTTATCGCTTCCAAGGGAGTCGGATTATGGGCTCCTCCAGCCCCAGCCATGGCAGGAGGCTGAAGATCCCAGAGTTGCAGGAGGGCCTGAGAATCTGTGTTGCTATTTAAAAAGAAGAAAAAAAAAAAACAAGAAAGAAGAGAAAAAAAACCACAGAGGATTTCTCTAGTTCTTGTGGTTAGGCAGAAAGACTTTGAAGAGTGACTCCCATGCCGTCAGCGGGGCAGCACATGCCAGAGTGCTTAGAGAGCCTGAAACAGTTGCCCGAACCCCACTGCTCTGCACGCTCCTGGGAAATTGTGCCCTGGTGGGCTTGGGGTGGCTGGGACCCCATGGGGCAGCTTGCACCGAGTTCCCTCGGGGAGGGAGGGCTGCCTGGAGCAATTTCTGCCCGGTGAGAGGAGGCAGTGGGCCCCGCGCCCTCAGGTTTCTCTTGAAGATGCTCAGGCTCCTGCTTGCCACCGGGTAGTGTGCTGCGAGGGCCCTGTCCCTGGGCAGCGGGGTGGGAAGCGAGTGCCCGGGTGGCTGTGCCGTCCCCTGGGCTGTGTGCAGCTGGGCCCGGGGCTGAGCTTGGAGTGGGGCCAGTGCTTTCCCTGGCTGACCTTTGCCGTCACCCCTGGCAGAGCTGGAGCCTTGACAGAGGGTTTCATCAGCGCCGGCCACCAGCGAGGCTGAGCTCCGTCGGGGATGCTGTAATTCTTGCCCCCCCGCTGCCCCTCGCTTGGGGTGGGGGTCTCTGGATGCCCCTGAAGGAGAGGCAGGCTGAGTTTGTCGGGCATCTGCCTAATGTACCCCTGTCCCCGGGCATTGTCCCCTGGGGTGACAGCAAATGGATGCCACAGGCATGAATCCTCCTTGCAGGGATGTGCAGCCTCAGGGTGGAGGGGCAGCAAGCATGACGTCCCCCTCCAAAGCGGGGACCAGCCTGGGTGCTGGGTTCCAGCCCACCAGCCTGGTGTAAACCAAGGCTGAGGGACAACCTGGCAACCCCCTGCTGAGGCTGCAAAAGCCACTGGCATGGCCTTTGTAGAGGGGAGCCGTGCCTCAGGGTGCTGGGAGAGCACCCCAAATGTGTCAGTGAAGGAGTGGGCTCAGGGATGAAGCAGGCTGACCTTATTTATTTTGGCTTCTGAAATGCTCCTGGGAGGCGGTGGGGAAGGGTCCCTGGGGGCAGCATGCTGACCACCCCCCATCTCTGCCCACCCCAGCTGGCAGGACCCCCGGCATCGTCACCCCGGAAAGAAAGCCCCAGAAGCAAGGAGCCTGTGGCAACACCGAGATGCAGTGGGCGAAATGGCACGGGAGTGGCCCCCTTCCTCGACCCCAGCCCTCTGGTAGCCCAGTTCAACCGGGAGATGCTGCAGGTGAGGCCAGCTGGGGTGCCCGCCCAAGGGGCTGCGTGGGGAGCGGGGCCGGGGGGGCCACCGGCAGCCTTTCATGTGAGCTGTGGGGTGGGGTGCGCGGCGGGGAGGGCTGAACTCCCGGCCCCGAGCGAAGCCATGGTTGTGGCATGAGATCATGTTTGGCTGCCTCTTCCTGGCTGTCGGCCCCGGGGAGAGGGGTCAGCCCACACCAGGGCCCTGCTTCCTCCCCACGTGCGCATGCTCCTTCCGTCCCTCATCCTCCTCCTCCCAGCCCCTGTCCCTCCTCGGTGGCGTGGGAACTGGGATGGCACGGGGGGGGTCTGCTTCCATGCCGTGCTGGGAAGGGTGCACAGGCGCTTGCACTGGGGAGCAGGGTACAGGGAGAAGAGATGCTTCATGCAGAAATGTCCTACACTGAGACCCCCAGTCTGGCCTGCCCGGTGGGGCCCTGACTTCTCCTACTGGGCTGGGGCAGATGCTGGAAAGAAGCAAGGTGCTCCTCGCCTTCCCACCTCCATCGCCACCAGTGCTGTCCTGAGCCCCTTTGCTGTCCTGTTGGCTCTCAGAGCAAATGGGTTGTCATCTGAAAGAGTGCCCTCTGGTCCCTGTGGCAGTTTTGGGGGGGGGTTGGGCTTGGGTCCCCAAAGCCATGTCCTTGGGACTCTGATGGAGGCACCTGGCCACACGGCTCTCCCCACGTTGCAGGCCGAGGGCTGGGTGCGAGGCAAGCTGCGGGACATGAAGGACGGCTGTGACCTCCAGGACTGGGAGGAGGTGGCTCAGACCCTGCAGCGGGACATGAAGGATTTCGAGAACACGCTGATAAAGCTCAACCAGGTGAGGCCAGGCAGCAGCACGGCTCTCATTCCCTGCAGAACCCACGTTCCCAGGCTCTCCTCAGTGGAGGGTCTCTGGGAGCCCCTGATCCACTGAGTGGATCCCTTGTCCCACAGATGGGCGAGCAGCTGATGTGGCAGGCAAGCCCCAGTGCCGAGGGGGTACGGAGGCAGCTGCTGGCCCTGCGGGACCAGTGGCAGCTCCTGAAGCAGACGGCCGCCAGCCAGAGCAAAGCCCTGGGGGGACTGAGGAGCCTGCAGGACTTCAACAGGAAAGCTGAACGGCTGGAGACATGGATCAGGCACAAGGTGTGGGGTGCGGGGAGCATGGTCCGGGGAGGATGACAGCCTGGCTGTCCCCATGTCTTATCACACCCTCTCCTGACCCAGGAGGAGAAGCCCTCCCTGGCAGCCCTCCTTCAGGAAAGCCCAGACAAGATCCAGCTCACCCGTCGCATCCTTGACTTGAAGCAGGTGAGAGGCTGCTGGGGGAGCAGCAGTGTGCCAGGGACCCCAGACCCCATGAGGCTGGGGCATGGTGCAGGTCCCTGAGAGGCTGGCAGGAGGGCTGGCTGAGGGATGCTGATGTCTGTCTCTGCTCGGGCCAGGAGGAGCAGCAGTTCCAGAGTTTGCATGAGGAGCTGAACAGTCTGGCCCAGAAGCTGGAGAAGCAAGGCAAAAGTGAGAGCAGGAGCATCTCGGCCCGGCGCAAGCACCTCAACAAAACGTGAGTGGAGGACATATTGAGCAGGCTGAACAGGGGCAAGCTGGGCTGGGAAGCAGGACCCCCAAACCTCCTGCCTCCATCCCCTCACCCCAGCTCTGCACAGCTCCCCAGGGGGCACGGGCTCCCCTTCACCTCTCCCACCCACACAGGTGGCTGCGGCTGCAGGGGACCCTGAAGGAGCATCATGAGGTGCTGCAGCTGGCCCTGGAGGTGGCCGCCTTCCTCCAGCAAGCAGATACCCTGCTCGGGGCCATCCACGCCAAGGTACCAGCACTGAAACTGGGTGGGCAACACCTCGCTCTCATCCCCTGCGTAGGGGCTGCTGTGGTCCCAGCACCCTCAGCTTGAGGAGAGAGCTGGGGGATGGAGCCTGATGTAAGATGGGGAGCCAGAGCAGCAAGCTGTGCTTTGCAGTGTCCCTTTCTGCTGGAGCTGAGGGCAGGGCCCCATCCTCCTCCTGCCACTGATGGCAGCTTCTTCTTACAGCAGAGGAGCGTCTACGGTGTGGGGAAGCCAGGGGAGGGTGAGCCATGCCGGGATCGGGATGTCAGGGACATAGCCAGCCAGGTGATGGTAAGTGCAAGGCTCTGCCTCGTCCTCTGAGTCCTGGGGAGCATCCCAACAGAGGGGGGATGTGTGCCTTCCTGGCTCAGCGCTGGCACCAGCAGGGCTGGGGGCTCAGTGGGCACCCATGGCTGTATGGGGTGGCTGGGATGGTGTGATGGATGGGGGAGCTGCCTCAGGGGCAGCAGGGGACAGGGCTTGGTTCCCACCACCTCCCTGGCTCCCCACAGGGCTGGTGGTGGGTTTCCGTCATGCACTCACACCATGGCTATGGTGGCTCATCCCTCGCTAGCCCTGTCATTGCTCCTTGGCTACTCTCTCCTCCAGATGCTGGATGTGACTGTGTCCCAGCTCCTCAGCCTGCAGCCCAGCCTGGCAGCCCGAGTCACCCCCAAGCACCGAGATGTCAAGGAGAGCTGGGCACAGCTCCAGCAAGCACTGAGGTAGGGCACAGCCTGGCAGGAGCCCCAGGGTCCAAATCCTGATCCCTCAGGGCTGGAGCCAGAGGCCTGGGGAAAGACCTGGGTTAGCCCTGGCAGGCTCTTTGAGGCACCAGCTCCACTTAAGGTCCCTCTTCTCCATCCTCTGCTCCCCTGGGCCTCCCTTGTACCTCTTACCCAGGACAGAGAAGGCTCCGGTGCTGATGAGCAGCTCCCCAAGGGGTGAAGCTGCTGAGCCCCGAGGAGATGATAGCAGCCGTGGGGCCATGGGGAAGGAAGCAGGAGACAAACAGACCAGAGGCTCTGGGAGCATGGTGAGCATGGGCGTCTGCCTTCCTCCAGCATCTCTGCCACAGCATGATGGGGAGCTTGTGGAAAAGGGGTTCGAGTGTTGGGCAAAGCCCAAGCTGAGCATACCTGTGACCTGGCCCCACTGCTTATGGGTGGTGAAAAGTGCCAGGTCCTGGGGCAAAGCAGTGCACGCTTTGGGCTGGCAAGGGAGGAATGGGAGCCCTTGTGCCATAGGTGCTGAAGGACATGCTGGGGAAGACAGCAGAGCATACGAGAGTGGAAGAGAGCAGCCCTGGCTTTCCAGCAACGGGGCAGCCCCCTCATGGAGGGGACATCAAAAGGTACTGTCTTGTGGAGATGGCTGTGGGGAGTGGGGTGCAGCTGGAGGGGATGGGAATGGGGGTCCCCTGTGCAAGGGGCAAGCTGACCTGACTGTCCCCCTCTCTGCAGGAGGAGGAGAGAGGCAGAGGCTGAATGGGGGACACAGCAGCCAGAGGCCCAGGTGCAGGACGCCTGCCAGGTGGTGAACGTGGTAATGTCTCCCCAAGAGTCATCCTCCTTGCTCCCAGCTGGACCAGGGGAGCCAGTATGGAGGTGGAAAAACGTCCTTACATCCTTCCCTGGCCACCTCCTGCTGCCTGTGGGCATGCACACTTTTTCACACACACTCATCCCTGGTCTGGGCACTAATGCACCACCGGGGATTGGTCTCTTCTCCCAAGTCACAAGCGATAGGACAAGAGGAAATGGCCTCAAGTTGTGCCACGGGAGGTTCAGATTGGATATCAGGAAAAATGTTTTCGCTGAAAGGGTTATTAAGCATTGGAATGGGCTGCCCAGGGAAGGGGTTGCAGCACCATCCCTGGAGGTGTTTAAAAGACAGGTTGACATAGTGCTTAGTGACATGGTTTAGTGATGACTTTTTATCAGAGTTGGGTTGATGGTTGGACTAGATGATCTAGGAGGTCCCTTCCAACCTAGAAATTCTACGGTTCTGTGATTCTATGACTTCCTTGCTCCCTGCTCGGGGACATAGAGAACCTGGAGGCAGCACAGATGCAGCAGGAGCTCCTGAACCCCAGCTCCAGCCCCGGGGCTGTGCTCCTGGTGAGCACCCTCAGGTGTGGTGCTGGGGGGCACTCCCCAGGCAGGGTCCATCCTAACCACCCTCTCTGCCTCCCAGGAGGAGCCGGCGCCAGGGGTGCACCCGGGAAGCCCGCAGGTGGAGGCCATGCTGCGGGAGCTGGGCGAGCTGTGGGAGGACCTGCAGAGGAAGCACCAGGAGAACGGCGCCGTGCTGCGGGAAATTGATAAGGTAAGTGGTGGTAGAGCAGGGGTGGGCACAGGGGCATGTCCCGATCACAGCAACTTGCTGGGAATCAGCAAACAAGGCCAGTGCCTGCAGGGGCAAGATCTGCAGTGGTGGCACTGCCATCTCCAGCTGGCATCACAGCCAGTTCCAGCTGTGCCACCCCAGCTGGCAGTGCCCAGGGTACCTGCAGTGGGGTGGCAGCACGGCTCCTGCCTCCCCTGGGCGGCTCAGAGCCAGGCTGATGGGCTGCCCGCTCTCCCTGCAGGCACTGAGGCTGGTGGGGGAGCTGGACCGGGCTGAGCGGTGGCTGCAGTCTGTGGCTGGGTCACTCTCGGAGCCGGCCACCATGAGAAGCCCAGCAGAGCTGCGCCAGGACCTGGAAGAGACAGGCCAGCTGGAGAGACAGCTCCTGCTGTGCGGCCTCAAGCTCCAGGCACTGCGGGAGGAGGCGGCAAGTGAGCCGCCCGACAAGCACGATGGGGCGAGGAAGATGCAGAGGAAGGTGGAGATGGTGGAGGAGAAGTGAGTCCTGGGGGGAGGTACTTTCTGTTCCCTGGGAAGGGCAGGCAGGAGGATGCTTGCCCCAGGGAGGTGTGGGGAGGAGGATGCTTTTCCCAGGGAGGTGCAGGGAGGAGAATGCTCACCCCAGGAGGTGAAGAGGGTGCTGGCGCCCGTGACGGGCATCTGTCCCTGCAGGTTGGCAGGCGTGCAGGTAGCCCTGCGGCGCCGGGCGGCAGACCTGCGTGACTCCCTGGTGCTGTCTGAGTTCCTGCAGGACCTGCAAGAGGAGGAGGCACGGAGCAGGCAGGGACCTGCAGCGGTGAGCAGGGGGGCCAGGCATCCCTTGGGATTGATTGCCCAGCACTTGGGCCAGGCCCAAGGGTTGGTCTGTGGCTGGCAGGGGGACCCTGCAGAGCCAGCTGCCTGGAGGGGTCGCTCCCCATCTCTCTCATGCCTGGTGTTTCTGTTGGCTCCAGCCAGGGAGCGGGCGTTGTGGCTCACAGGGGTCTTTTCCCCTGCTCTCGGGCACGGCTGGGCAGCCGCCAAGCAGCAAGGACATGAGCCACTCATTGGGAGAGCTGCAGGAGGCTGTGGAGATGCTGAACGATGCAGCGAAGGAGCGGGAGCGGGTCATGGAGGTGGCAGCAGAGACGGAGAGCCTGGAGCGCCTGGTAGGGGATGGTGGAAGGGGGGTCTGGGTATGCGGGTGGGTGGCCCAACTGCAGTTGGACATGCTGGCTAGTTGGGACCAGGCATGCTGGTCCCAGGATCCTTGTCCTTCCCCTGGGTGGTGCTCCCTGCCCTTTTTCAGGGGCATGGCAGGGTGCCCCCAGGCTGGGGTGAGCTGGGGCCACATGGTGAGTGGTGGCACAGGGCTTCCCACGCCAGGGCTCATCTCCCTTCCCTCCCTTGCCCGTCCAGGTGGCAGATGTGTCCCCGCGCCTGGAGGCCTTTCGGTGCAGAGCTGAGGCGCTGGCTCATGACACTGCCCAAGCAGAGGGTGGCTTCACCGCCGTGAAGAGCGAGAAGGACCTCCAGGGGCTGCAGGGCTTGCTGAGCCAGCAGCAGGAGATGGAGGTGAGACTCGGGGAGCACCATGGCTGGCCATGCCCTTGGCTGGCTGGGGCCCTCCTGGGGAGGTGCTGGCCCCTGGGGGCCCAGGTGCCGTAAGCCTTGGCGCACTGTCACGGGCCGGGCTGGAATTTTCCAGCAGAGCTGAGCCCTGCCCCGCTCCGCTCCCCTCCGCCAGCGTGGGCCAGGCAAGGGGAGAGAGCTTGCGTCAGCTCCCGTGTGCCAGCGCCCCGCTGCCAGCACCTTGCTCATCTGCCCGCCGGCGGGGAGGTGACTCACTTGGGCAGAGCTGGGAAACCAGGCAGCCCTCGGCTCTGCCCGTCCTCCCCTCCGGGGGTGGCTCTGCCCCCTCTCTACAGCCCCTGGGCCAGCATCCTCCCCTCCGTCCCTGCATCCTCCCCTCCGTCCCTGCATCCTCCCCTCCATCCCTGCATCCTGAGTCCAGCCTGGGCGCAGAGGGGTTGGATGCATCCTGAACCTTGTCTGCTTTTAGCGTGCGGTGTCGGAGACCCTGCAGGGGCAGCTGGAGGAGCTGGAGAGGGCAGCTGCCCGCTTGCAAGAGCTCTGCCCTTCTCGGCTGTGCCCCATCAGCCGGGAGGTGGAGGGGACGCTGCGGGCCTGGGCAGAGCTGCAGGAGCTGCTGCGGGAGAACCGGGCCCACGTGCAGCAGGCCAGCCGGCTGCGGAACTTCTTCAAGGATTACTTAGCCATGATGTAAGTGGTGATGAGCCATCAGGGTTATTTCTGTGGTGCTTGGGGGGGAGCTGGTGAGAGCATGGCATCTCCAGAGGATGGACTGCTGGTGAGTCTGTGGGCAGTGCCGGAGCTGCAGCTGGGCAGGATCCTAGGGAGCCTGGCTGTGCCAGGGCTGCCTGCTGTGGGGCAGCCCCGTGGCATCTCACCCTGAACCCACTAGATTTGTTGTTACCCCAGCAAGTTGCTTCCAGCCATCCCTGCACATGAGAATGGCTTCTCCATGGGCTGAGGGGGCTTCACAGGGTTGTGGAGGAGCCACGCCATTCCTGAGCCTGTCCTTCACATCCCACAGCTCCTGGACAGAGGACACACGGGCTCAGATCTTCTCCGAAAACCCAGGTGGCCACGGCCTTACAGAAGCTCCATGTGAGGAGCTGGAGAGGAGGATTGAAGGGAAGCTTAAGGAGTTTGAGGCACTGGCAGCAGTGGGGGAGCAACTGGTGTCTGAAGAGCACTACCTGAGTGCAACGGTAAGGGCAAGCAATTAGGGGAGCCACCTTTACACCCCTTGAAGTCCTCCAGGGACAGTCACTGGAGGAAAGAAAGGTCTGGGTGCAGAGCCCCTGTGAGTGGTACGGGGCTGGCCATGCATCTCGAGCTGCTCAGGACAGGAAGGGGTTTCACACAATAATGGATGTTGAGACCTGAGGTGGTGCCACTGACCCTATCCCACACCCCAAACCCCCCTGAACCGCTCCATAGCGAAGTGTCCTGGTAGGGCCAGTCTTCCTGGGCCAGGGGTCCTTGCAGGCTGCCCAGCATCTCTTCTCCTCTCAGATAAAGGAGCGCCTGGAGGAGCTGCAGAGCATGCTGGGCTGGGTGCTGGTGCGCTGGCGAGCACAGAGGCACCAGCGGGACACAGGGAGCAAGCAGGAGGACAGACGGGACCCGGAGAGCCCCTCAGGCACATCCCCTACTGGCCAAGTGAGTACCCAACCGCGCTGAGACCGGCCTCAAGGCTGAGGGTAGCAGAGGCACTGGATGGAGCGGGTGGTGCAGAAGTAAGAGAAGGATCTCTGAGGTATGGGCAAGGCAAAGGGAAGATTGTTCTGAGAAGAGCCTGGTGCCTGCAGCCCTTTCTGCATGTTCTCTCTCTTCCCTCGCTCCCCAGGAGCAGCGTGCCTCGTGTGCTCAGCCCCGGCTGGAGAGCGTCCACAGCCCAGTGGGGTTCATGCCCTGCTCTCTCCACAAGCTCCTGCAAGGATCAGAGCCACAGGTGCCATCGGCAATGGCCATCTCCCCACCGGCATCGCCCCTCTCAGATGCCCCATCGGGAGCGGAGCAGAGCTGGGGGGAGCCCAGGAGCTCAACACCCTGTGGTGTGGAACCGCCTGAGGAGGCTGTTGTCTGGGATCCTGCTGAGACCTCCACGCTGCTGCTGCCACCACGGGGCCCCAGCGGGCTGGGGGGGACGGTCAACCTCATCTTCAGCATCGGCAAGAAGGGCGAGAAGAAGAAGGTGCAGCCAGTGGCCAGTGGCGAGTGGCCAGGGGAGGAGGCGCTGCGGACGGTACGTGAGGGACAGTAGGTGGCTTCAGCAGAACCATGGGTGAGCACCCAGTGCCAGTCCCAGGGCCAGCCACCACTGTGCAACCGGGGCAGCTCCTGCGCAGCCTGGAGGGCTTTAAGGGCTGCAGGGTTGTAGCGTGCTGGGACTCCCCCAGACCATTTCTAGCCAAGCTGTTGGGGCTGTGTCTGCCTCAGGAGAGGCACCTTTGGCTGTGCTGATGCTGAGCAATGCCCGCGGGCTGAGGACTAGCTTTTGCCACCCTCTTTTTGCCTGCGCTCTCCTGCTGTGGCAGTTTGCCCACTCTGCCTTCAACTCTCTCTGTCTCTCTCTCTCCCCCTGCTCAGCTCCCTGCCACTAAACCCTCAGGCTGTAAAACCTTTTGGAAGCGTTGCCAGGGGCTTTTAGGAAACACTTGGGGTAGTTTAAAGCGAAAGAGAAAGCCCCCTCGCCAGCTGGTGGAAGAGGTAACGTCCCGGGGGGGAGGCTGCATGCTGGGCAGAGTGGCTGCATGGCATGAACCCGCCTGCTACCGATCCATCTGCCCATGGCACCGTGCCCTGCTTGTGGTGGTCCCCTGGGAGAGGGGAAACCCTCCCAGTGCCGTGGGCTCCAGAGTGTGGGTGTTGGGGCATGTGAGGAGGGGGCTCAGACGGGGCTAGCTGCAGTTTGGCCCTCCAGGTAGGTGGGTTTGGTGGCCACAGGAGGCGAACCACTGCTGAGGGGCAGCAGCAATCCCTCCTGCAGCTGACTGAAGTGGGAAGAGCTGGATGGGGGCCATGTGAGGATGCATGTGTTGGGGGGCATGCTCAGGGGTGCATGGCTTGTAACCCCAGTTCTGGGGGCTCAGTGTTTTGCTGGGGCTTCCATCCAGTCATTCTCTAGGCCTGGCATAAAGTGCTATGTGCAAGGAACCCCAAGGGCAGCCATGGCCCAGGTACCCTGTGGGGCAGCCCAAGGGAGAGGGCAGTGGGTCAGAGAGGCTGGACTGCATCAAGGCAGAGTGTGGGGCTTCCAGGATGTTTTGGGGATAACAATCTCCCTCCAGCCTAAGGAATACAGAGAGATGCTCCTCTGGCTCCTGCAGGCAAAGCCCTTTGCTTTCATCGTTGTGGCCCCAGGAACCCAGAAGGGCTGCAGCTGGGCTGGAGAGGATGTCTGTGGGGAAGAGGAAGGAGCTGTGCCCAGTCCCTGCCCTTGCAAGTGCTCTGCTGCCTGGGGGTGTGCAAGGGTGGCAGGGACAGGCAGCAGTGGCTGCTGCCTCTGTAGCCACCCAAAAGTGATGGCTTGGAGGACAGTGGTGCTTGGTGGAGAGCTGCATGGCACAGGCAGCCCCCACTGCACCGCACCTGGAGGACTCCATCACAGGCAGGGGAAACCCTTCCTGCCTCTTCCCTGCCTGCACTGAGGTGGGAGCAGCCCTCGGGGAGCTGGAGTGAAGCCATGCTGCTCCCACCTCTGCAAGTGCCACTGGTGGGCATTTTCAGCTGCCTGTCCCCGCCCTGCCCTGGCTCCCTGTTTGCAGCATGGAGAGAGGTTGGATGGTGCGGGGTGATGGAGGCTCTGGCCATGGGAGTCACCTCTCTCCCGCTCTGTGTCCCCAGGCGCAGGTGGAGACCAGGAAAACCTCCGACACGAAGCGGCCACCCGTGGCTGTCCGCCGCCCTCCAGCATCCAGCGCCGGGACACCATCCTCCTCCCACACCCTGCCCAAGGCCGGGGCCGGCTCCCTCTTCAACAGCCTGCAGCGGCGGGAGCGGGCACGGGCCGAGCAAGCCCGGCTGCTGACCCTGCAGGGCATCATGGGCGCCAGCTCCCTGCAGCCTGCACCCGAGGAGCACCACGGCCCCAGCAACACATGGCCTCAGAAGTGTGGCCGGAGGAAGGGGGGGCCGGGGGCGGCCACCACCGCTGGACCCCAACTCGGGGAGCTGCTGCTCTACGTCAGGAACCCACTGGTGCGGGACATCGATGCTGAGTGCGGGGTGGCCACCAGGGATGCCCGCAGACCTGATCCAAAAACGACATGCCCCCACCTGTCCCTGGGCTCCGTGTTTAGCCTGGAGCTGCCCCGGGACGTGGCCGTCTTGGCTTGCCACCAAGGGGCCATGGGACTGCGGGAGGAGGCAGAAGGGCAGGAGCAGAGGCAGGGAAGGAGGGTGAGGCCATGGGAGCCCACAGACACACATGGGGCCAGATGGCAGGAGGAGGCAGATATAGGTGAGCACAGTCCCCAGGCGCCCAGCGAAGGGCTGGGGATGTCCCCCAAGAGCGAGCGAGGAACGTGGTTTGAGGAGGTGAGCTTCAACCCCAGCTACAGCCGCCAAAGGGCACACCATGCTGGGGAGGAGCGCCGGAGCCCACAGTGTCCTGGCAGTGCTGGTGAAGACCTCCTGGACTTCAGGCCAAGCCAGCCGTGCCGTGTTGGCATGCTGCATGAGCGGGTGGGCAGGGAGGGGGACAAGCTGGCCACCCAGGAAGGCAGTCCCAGCACCGCTGGCAGGGCCAGGCATCATGAAGCTACTCGGCTGGAGCTCAGGCCATCCCCCACCAGCATCCCAGGCAGGGCAGGGGCCATCCCAGGCACTGCCAGCACACAGCAGCCAGCTGGCAGCGGCCAGCCTGGAGAGTCCCCGACTTCCCCTGCCGCCCCCACCCAGCTCTCTGTCTTTGAGTGGGCACTGGGGTCACCGCAGCCCCCCAGCCCTGTGCCAGCCACTGGGGAGGTTTGCCACCCTGCCCATGGGCAGTTTGAGGAAGAGGAGGAGGAGCTGCAGGCCATCTGGGATGGGGCAAGCAAGCAGCAGGCACATAGCCCACCGGCAGGCAGCCATGCCCACCACCAACCAGAGAGCAGGGCAGGCAGCCTGGCCAGCCCGGACGCCACCGCCAGCGGGCCCCTCATCCTCTCAGCAGCAAACAACGTGCTGGTGGCCAAGTTCACCCTTCCCACCGCTGCCCGGCTCCTCCACAGCCCGGCAGGAGAGAAGAGCCCCGGTGTGGGGCACAGTGGCAGTGGCAGCCCCAGCGGGCACGGGGTGTCCCCCCGCACGGAGGAGCTGGTGTCCACAGCCCCCTTGGACAGCCCGGGCGCCTGGGATCGGCAGAGGCGCGGGGAAGAGGAGAGAGAGGGTGGAAAGGTGAGAGCTGCGGGCTTTCCTTCAGGGTCAGGCAGGGGGTCGGGGGACACCCCAGGTGACAGCTGAGTTACCCACTCAGCAAACATGACCTGTGTTTGGGGGCTCCCTGACTCAGGTGGTCCCTTTGCTCCAGCTGGGGGGTGGAGAAGGACTGGGTGCTGAATTTGGGGCTCCCTGCAGCACAGCATCCCTCCACCAGCCCTCAGCCTTTGCAAGGCAGCACTTAACCCCAAAAGCCTACAAACAGCCCAGGCCAGAAAATTGCTCCTGTTGTCCCATTCCCGCCTTGACATCGCCCACTGGGGATGAGTCAGACGGACCTCGTGCACCCATGGACTGAGCTGGCACTGCTGGCCCCAGCGCTGCTTCTCTCACCCCCTGTCCCTTACAGGTCCCTCCCAGTAAAACGGAGTTTCAGATGATGGAGGGGACGCTGGAAAGGAAGCACGTGTTGCAGACAGGAGGGAGGAAGGTACAGGCATGGCTTTGGACCTCCTTTGGAACTGGGGTGCTGGGATGGGGCAGGGGGAAGATTGGAGTTTTGGGGTGGGAGCGAAGCTGGGGATAATCCTGGCGGTACCATGGGGGTGCTGCTGGCTCTGCTGGGGGGGCAGAGCCCAGCAGAGCTGGGGAGCTTTTTGAGTGGCAGGGGACTGCCTGTCTTCTCCCAAACCTGTTGGCATCACAACTATCCCTTGCTTGTGACCCACAGGCCAACTGCCGGGCCTGGGGCCTCTTCCACGCCGTGCTAATGAGGCAGACATTGTGCTTCTACCAGGACCGAAGGGACAGCCTCAAGGTGCGCTGGGGGAGAGCCAGGGGGCATGGGAGGGGGCTGGCAGTGGGGTTGTCCTCACCACTGAGGCTGAGGAAGGCAGATCCTGCCAATCCCACTGTTGCTCTTGCTGTTTTCTGTGCTGCAGAGCTCTGTGGTGGCCCTTCCCCTGAACCTCTCCGGGGCGGTCTGCACCCCAGATGCCGAGTACACCAAGAAGACCAACTGCTTCAGGCTTCAGTGAGTCACCCCAACCCAGGGCAGCTGGGATCTCATAGCCACTGCTCTCCCTAGTGTCCCCCTGCTGGGACAGACACACACCAACACCCCCAGCCAGGGCCACCCTCTATCCAGGGCTTAGATGAGGATTTCCTTCTTTCTTTCTCACCCGCTTCCCTTCTTTCCCAGGCTGGCAGGGGCTGTGGTATGGGCGCCCCATGTCTGTCTCATTGCTGACTTGTTCTCCCCCCCTGCAGGCTGCGGGATGGCTCCGAGTACCTCCTGAGGGCCCCCTCCCAGCCCCTCATGAACGAGTGGGTCTCCAAGCTGCAGCAAAACTCAGGTGAGTAGCTCTTGCTGGCGGAGCGGGGGCCCAGCTATATGTGGTGACCGTGGGTGTGTAGCCCCCGTGGAGCCCTCTGATGAACAGGGGGTGTCAGAAGAGCAGCAGCAGGGTGTTGTCTCTGATTTATGCATCCTCCTAACCTGCCTCGGGAATGGCAGTTCTCTGCCAGGCAGGATTTGGAGGCTTTGTTTTCACACCACATACACAGTTATAAATCAGGAATAGCACGACTGACGTCAGTGCAGCTTCAGCAGCAAAAACCCAGTGTCAGGAAAATTATAATTGTGCCTTGGTCTTCCTCCATCTCCTCAGTGAGGCCTGGAAACCCCTTGCCTGCCCTTCAGGCAAGGACATCTGTAATACTGAGGTCTTCCTGCTGTTGAACCCATACCCAAGGGGGCTCAGGCCCTGCTGTGAAATCCCAGGCTGGCTGGCAGGACCAAGAGCAGGGGCTACTGCAGGAGGCTGGAGGGGCCAGCCAGGCAGCACGGGCACCTGGAGCTGGTGCTGGCTCTGCGGGATGGTCCTGTGTGCCACTGGCATCCAGTGGGATGTTTGCTGTGCCCCCAGGTTTCCCCGAAGTGGATTACTTCCAGGCGGCGACACAGCGTGTCGAGGGCACTGGCGGTGCTGGGGGGTGAGTAGCCAGGAGCCGGCCAGCCAGGTCTTACTACAACTCTCTTGGCAGTGTGTGCTGCTCCAGCAGGGCATCGGTGGCCCGGTCTGGTTTGCTAAATCTCTGCTACTTTGCAGTTTCAGCAAGGTCCCCAGCCCTGGAAGCTCCCACCTCCAGGGACATCATCAGGTCATGACCGCCAAGAGCCAGGAGGTCGTGGTGCTACCCCGCTCAAACGCCCGGCTGCAGTGTCCTCTGGGCAGTCAGGATGGCCCAGACGATGGGGCTGTGGCAGCAGCAGGTGAGACTTTCCTGCCTGGCTGGGCTCGTGCTGTCCCCTGTCTCCTCTCCCCAGGCTGGAGAGCTACAAGGGAGCTGACTGGGAGAATCTGGTTGTTGGTCAGTCTTGAACTCAATGCGGTCTGGGCCAGGAGTCACAGGACGCCTTGCTCAGGAATTGGGGTGGGGGAAGGACCAATTACCTCCCTTCGCTTTCTGGGATACCAAGATAACCACCCAAGTTTCCCTGTCCTCTTTGGGGCTATGACACAGGTGTCCTGTGGTGGCCTTGCCTTATGACATGTCTCCGTTCTGCTTCAGAGGATGTTCGTGGATCTGGGCAGAGGGAGCAGCAGTGGTCTCCCAGGGGGTCCCCCGGGCTGTGGGACAACAGCTGCCAAGAAGATGACTACGGGTTGGTGGCCAACAAGAGGAGGTCCTATTCCTTCACCTCAGGTACGGTCCTGGTTTCGCTGTCACTGCCAGGAGGTGGCACCACTGTCCCTGTCCCTGAGGGCAGGTGTGATGCTGCTCCAGCACCCACCCTGTCCCACATCATAGAATCATAGAATTGCCCAGGCTGGAAGGGACCTCCAAAGGTCATCTAGTCCGACCTCCCCGCAGTCAGCAGGGACACCCCCAACTAGACCAGGTTGCCCAGGGCCTCGTCGAGCCTCTCCTTGAATGTCTCCAGGGAGGTGGTTGAGGCCCCTTCCCTGGGCAACCTGTTCCAGTGCTCCACCACCCTCACAGTGAAGAATCCCTATGCCCTGGGCTGCAGCCCCCCACTCAGGGAGGGCTCGGGGCAGGAGGGGGCTGGCAGCACCCAATAGTACCCTTCCCTCCCCCTGACTGCTGGCTTTTGCAGCTACCTACCAGAAGATCACCCCCGTGGCTGTGCCCAAGGAGCCGGTGGAGGCTGGGAGCAGCTACTCAGTCACGCTGTACATCGGGGAGCAGGCGGCGGCCGTGCCACGGGCACGATGCCACTCCTTCGTGGCCCGGCCAGGGACCCCACGGGACACGCTGGGGGAGAAGACCCCCGGCCCTCCTCGCCCCAAGAACAAATCCGTCTTCAAGAAGTTCTTTGGGAAGAAGGAGTGAGACCCAGCTGAGAGGGCAGAAAAGCCCCAGCCTGCCCTCTTACCCTCCACTGGGGTGCCATCCTGGCCCAGTCTCCAGCACCAGCTCACCACTCGCCGCCTCCCCCGGGGGAGAGAGGCTCCGCTCCTGCCGGCCCCGGGGGCTGCACCGTGCCCCAGCCACCACTGCCCCCGCCTCAGCCCGGCGCTGAGCACCCCTCCTGCCCCCCACCGCGGGTGCTCGCCCTGGGTGCTGCCAGCTCCCCGGGCGCCTCGCTGACGCGCAGCGCAAGCAGGGGGTGGGGAGGGCGGTTGTTTTTATTAAAAAAAACAAACAGCCACTCAGTCTGGGAGCTTCTTCCTCCGGCAGCACCTGCGGGCGCAGGAGGAGAGGGGCTCTGCTGAGGGGCCTTCCTGCTCTAAAGGGGAAGCCCTGCGGCAGGTTTCCTTCCTCCTCGGGGAGAAGCCTGGGCCCTCTGGTGCCTTTCACAAGGATACTTTGTCCCGTGGGTCCCCTGTGCCTGCACCCAGCCTTGCTAATACCACGGGGCACCACTTGGGCCCCTTTTCCCTGCTGCCCTGCAGCCCTGCCCGTCCTCTCTCGCTGGATATCCAGCAGCCCAGGTCACGGCAGGTGGATGCTGTGTGCCATGGAGGGGAACCAGGGGAATGTGGCTGTACCCCCAGGGCTTCCTCCATCCCAGATAGTTTGCAATAATTTCACCGAGTTACACCGGCTTCAACTGCCCTGCTTCCTGCCTATAGTAGGAAGGGGAAAGAGCAGCTGGCCCAAACTGTCCCCCAGCACGTACCAGCCCCGGGGGAAGAAGGGGAAGTTTCTGGGGCCATGGGCAGCAGGGCCTCTCCCCAGCAGGCTGCAAGGCTGGGCTGTGCACACCCCTCGCCTCCTCATCTGCACTGTGGGGCTTAAAATAGAAGTGCTGGCTGCAGCCCAGCTCTGCAGCAAGGGCTGGGAGAGAAGAAACATGGGCGCAGGGCTGCTCCTGCCACCCCTTCTCCCCGCACCGTGGTGTCCCCAGGGCTGGGGGCAGGCAGTGAGGTGGAGGTGGGAACGCCAAGGTCACCTGCAGAGGGTCTTTCTCTGTGTTCCCAAGGAGGGGGTGGGAGGAAATGCTGGTGAGGGGTGCTGCCGTGTGGGCGGGAGGGGGGGTTGCATTTTTTGTGCTCCCCCTGAGCCTCCCCACCCTCTGCTTGGCTCCATTGCTCTTGGCTCCGGCACCTGTTTTCCTCCAGCACCAAAGCTGGGCCGCCTGCGCTGCCTTAATGGGAAGAGGCGAGAGGGTGGCTGTGGCTGGGAGGCGGGGGGGGATGCCCTGGTGGGGGGCCAGCCCCAGCTGGCTGGGGAGGAGGCCGAGGCACGGCACTGACGGCTCCGGCCGTGCATACCAGGAGAGCAGGCGGTGGTCAGGCGCCAGTTCATTCCTGAGCAGCTGAGGGGCCCGGCGGAGGGGACAGCGGGTGCTGTTGAGGGCCCCCCCTGCCAGCCCCCAGGGGGCCGATGCAGACTTGCGATGGGGTGGGGGTTTAGCAAGAGTCCCACCATGGTCTGAGTCCAGCACAGCCCCACGGGGTGGCACATGCCACCGGAGAGGTGTCCCCATCCCAGGGACGATGCTGGCACCTGCAGCACCGCTCTAGGTGCCCAGGGCTGTCCCCCCTCTGGGGTGGCTGCTCGCCCGCAGCCTCCCCTCTCTCCTTCCCTGCGCTGGCGCTCGGCCCCGCTGCAACCCGCTGACAAATCCCGCTGGCAGTTCCTATGGCAGAAGCCACTTCCCCCCCTGCTAATCCGCCCGTGCGTGCAGCCTCCACCTGCTGAGCCAGCGGGAGCCGTGCTCAGCCGGCCCCAGCCAGCGCCAGGGCTCCGAACCCCGCTCCAGCTGCAGAGACCGTGGGGCAGCGGAGCCTCCGCACCCCGGCCCCGCTGCCGCAGGAGACCCCGGCCCCGCTTGGCACCAGCCGGCGGCACCAGCTGGCACCAGGAGAGCCGAGCCCTCCAGGTAAGGGCAGGGTGCAGGCAGGGCAGGGGGAGGAGCGGGGGTGGTGAGAGGAGCAAGTGCTGTCCCTGCTGTGCCTTGTTCCCCCGGGTACTGGGGAGAGGGGTCTTCTTGCTCTGAGCCCCCCCACCGAGCCAAGGACTTGCCTGCCATTTCAGCTTCGCCAAGGTCACCCTGCAGCTGGGGGCCTGTGCTGAGGTCCCGGTGCCATCACCCACCAGCTCACTCCCCCACCCCAGGGGGGTATGATAGAGGTCTGGGAACCCAACCAGGACCCATGGCTGCCAGGAGGATTCAAAGCCTGTCCTCCCCATTGCAAGGGGAAGTGAAAAGGGGGAGCGGCAGTGGTGAGACTGGCTGCTGGCATCCTGCCTGCCTTGCCTGGGCAAACTCACAGCATGGCAACGTCCCCCCTCATGGGGCAGGGTACCCCCAGGACAGGGTTCCCCAGGAGGGTGCAGGGGCACCAGATGTGAGAAAAGGCAGAACAGGGAGCATCCCTGCGCTGGGGCTGCAGCAGCGGGGTGACTCCAGCAGCATCCCCCTTGCAGCTGGGGGGACCCGGGGCAGCGTGGGGTGTGAGGCAGAGGTGGGAGCACCGGCAGCAGCGGGGCTGGCCCTGGGCTGAGCCCGAGGGCTGTCCTGCACCGCTCTGTGCTGTGTCCTTGACGTGGCAGGCGGCGTGCTAGGACCTGGCGAGCCCCGAGCAGGCACTGCTGGCAGCCCTCTGCCCAAACAGTACGGGATCCTGCCTTGCCAGCCGGCAGCACCGCGGGAAGGAGCCTGCCAGCTCCGGAAAAAAACATGTAAGCGAGCATGGCTGTGCCACGGGCCACCCCGGGCCAGGCAGGAGCTCCCTGCGCCGTGTCCCGCGGGCTGGGACGTGTCGGTCGGAGGGCTGGGGACTGCTGCCGGGGGCTGTAAACAGGGCACGGGGTTAAGGGCTGGTGCCAGCGGCCCCAGGAGCGGGTGGGTGCCGGAGCAGAGCGGGGACCCCGGGAGCGGTGGTGGCTGCACTCCAGGGTAGCCCTGGCACCCATCCCGTGGCAGTGTAGGGCAGCTGAGGTTGGGGTGCTGGGGGCAACAGGCTGTCTGACGAGTGCTTTGACCCCAGCGTGCTCCCCACCACGCTCCTGCCTGTACTGGGTGCTGCTGCCTTCCCCTCCCTGTCCAGGACTCCCCATGGGGCTGGGCAGGGAACCTGTCCCAGGAGACACGGCAGGCACCAGGACAGTGCCATGGGGCAGCAAATACCCTCACCACACACATGCCAGCACCAGCCAACTGGGTACAGTTTTTGGTTACCCTGCCCGTGGGGATGTCACCCCAGGACTGTCATGGCCACCCCCTGTCACCTTTTTGTGTCAATCCCAGCCTTCCCTGAGCACTGGCTGCCTCCCTGCCCCACCAGACCCATATGTTCCAGTACAGGGAACAGGAACAGGGGGCTCCGCTGGAGTTCCCTCCCTATTCCTGGAGGTCCTGGGGCTGTGCCACCCCTCGCCTCCCTGCCAGGGCTGCTTCTGCAGCCCCGTCCGCCTCTCGCAGGCCCTTTGTCCCCATAGTTGGGCACTCTCCCATGACCCTTTCTATTTGTGGGCTGACCACTGGGAGCCGGGAGCCCGCCCTCTGCCCTTGTACCATTCCCTATCCAGCTCCTTCCTCCCCAGGCACCATTCCCCCAGCTGCCCTCGGCGTGATTTGGCCCAGTGCAGAGCTCCCGGCTGTCCCCGGGGCCCGAGGCTTAGCCCGAGGCTTGTTTGCAGGAGCTTGACCTGGAGTGCAGGGGACAGAGAGACGAATGTACGGGCAGCGCAGGGTTCACCAGGTGGCCTTTGCCCCCACATCTACGGTGCCTCCCAAGGTCAGGGCGCTGCTCTACCTCTCCAGTAAAGGTCTCACCCACAAGGTGAGAAAATAGGGCCCCCACCGCTGCTTGCTGCTCCTATCCCTCCTGTGCCCTGGTGCTGCCTCAGGGAAGGACCCGGCTCTGTAGGGGCTGCGATGGATGGGGAAAGGTAAGGAGCGAGGGAAGCTGGCATGGCTGGGTGGTGGGAGATGGTGAAACTCCTCTGTCCTGGTCTCCAGACCCATACAGGAAAGATGATGGAGGATGCGGTGGAGGAGCATGGCCACGTGCTGCTGCTGGCCTGCTTGCGCTGCGCTGGCTGTCTCCTGCACAGACATATAAGGAGCTCCTGCTCCCTGCCAAGAGTGGCTGGAGCGTCCCTGAAGGCGAGCTGGGTGGCACTGGGAGCAGCGGGACAGGGGATGCGGGCAGCAGCAGCACAGCAGCCTCACCAGAGCAGCCTTGACCTGAGTGACTGGCAGCATGGAGCCACTCTGGGGCTTACTGGGAAGCCAGGCTTTTGTGGAGCTCTTTTTTCTTCTCGAGAAGCCTGGCTTTTTGCAGGGATCCCAGCACCTCCATGACTATGGCTACAAAGCGGGGCCAGCAGCAATGCTGCCAGGCACTGTGCAGCAGCTCAGCCCTGCTGCGAAGCTTCCCAGCACTGCCATCCCAGGACACAGCACCACCGAAAGCCAGGTGAGGCTTTTCCACCTGCTTGGACCCACCGGGAGATGGCAGGTCTTGCGGGGAGAGTGGAGGCGGCAGGGAGTAAGTGATGCCTGCAGGTTCTCCTCAGAAAGGGGGGGGTCATGGTGAGAAGCACTGTTGTCAGGGCTGACTTTCCCCTTCTGGCTGGCCAGAAAGGAGATTTACTGGGTCTGGGTGGCAGTGTTAGCAGAGCAGGCTGCGTTTCCCCGGAGACTCTCTGAGTCCTGATCAACTGAGGATGGATATGTCGGGTCAACCTCAGGCCATGAACCCCTGGGAAGGAAGCACCAGGACCACCCTCCCCTTGTCCCTGTGGCACTTGGCAGAGGCACAAGGATGCTCCTGGCTGCCTTGTAGCCCAGGGTGGCAGGGAGAAGCAGGCAAGCTGCCTCCTGAGAAGTGAGCTACGCTGAGGAGATGTGCCTCGTGCTTGTCCCCATCTCACCCCATCCCATCCCTGCGAGACTCAGGGCTCACAGGGGACCAGCCAGGACCTCTTACTCTTTGGTCTACAGCTGAGCTGCAAGCCCCAGAGGACAGGTGTCACGTTCAGGGTGACTGCCACCATTTTCTGTCCTCATGTGACCCATCTTGGGTGACAGCAGGACCCTGAAATCTGCTTCCTCACACCATCCCTGCCCTTCTGCAGGGTGTGTTACCTGCTCCTTTTCACCACCTTCAATCCAAGAGCTGGAGCTTGTGCCCTTGGGATGCTTGGTCCCACTTCAGCTCCAGGTGCTGGTGATGACCCCATCTCCCTGCCCC